AGGTAACAGCTTCACTATCTCTTGCAGCAGCTTCTGCATCTGCAGGAATTACAGTCCTGTACATCCATGACATCAGAGGTTGTACCATTGCGGCAGAATGCTTCAAATACCAGATAGCAGTTGCTTTTGCCTTCCTAAGTTGGCTTACAGTGTTCATCTCGTCTCTCATCATGTTCTGGCTTCTAGCAGCAAGCTAGAAAATCTTCTTGCTTCGGAATTATTACAACATATGTGGAAAAAAGATGAGATCTAAGTATAGAGAGGTTATTGGTTCTCATATTGTTTTTTTTCCACTTATCAGATCATTTTTGTATATTTGGGAAGTGTGTATAGCTCGTCAATTGATCACATCTGTAATCTAGAATGTTGTACCCAATTTTGAGAAGTTGAATGTAACTTTTCGCTTCAAACTTGTTCGTATCTAAACCAAAAAAACCGATGAGATCAATTTTGCAGAATTTTTTTTTTTTTTTTTACATACAGTAGTTAAAATACAAAACTTTATATGCTACATTAGTACATTTACATAGATGTGATAGATCTAAGAAAGCTAACTCATATCCAATCTCTTAATTGGTTTGAATTACATGACTAAACTTGCACACAAGATTAACTATTATGCAAAATCACAAATGTCCTTTTGATATAAACGTATGTGATGGCCAATCTTTCAATTACCCTATATTCTTGAATTGTTAAAAGAAAAAAAAGAACAATGGTTTAAACATCGTTAACCACACAAAAAAGAAAAAATTTCTTCAAAAAAAAAAAGAAAAAATTTCTCATTATTTAGTGACAGATGGAGTATTTCCCTATACAATGATGAGAATATGATAAGATATGCTATACGATCTCTCTTGGGGAATCAAAATCCATATGGATAAATCCGAGAATTTTAAAAAGAATGGCTTACACATAACTTCTGAACATTGCTAAGATAGCCTATTACAAGTCTAATGCAATCCTTCTCTATGATATTCTCCGGAATGATTCCTAAACACAAACTTTTGTAGCTATGATGCATAGCTTGTCACAGGATGCTGCACACGAAAACTCATTATCATGGCTCTTATGACATAGATGACCTGGAACAGGATGCTAACAATGAAATGACATTCAATGAGGAATCATATGAGACTAATCCGCCTTTTTACTGCATATAAAGGAGCATGCAGTTCAACCTTCAGGCTTAACTCGAAACTAAACGAAAAACAGAAGTTAAGCAATGGCTATGAGTAATTGTAACATTTGGAGCTTTTACTTGAGGTTTAAGCCACACATGTTTATGATCCTATCACAGATAGGCTGGACTTTACTGTATTTCATCACTGAAGCATCCTTCAATAATGGAATGAATCCTTATGTTTACATAACATATCGCCATGTTGTTGCTGGGGTGGTGATGTTCCCCTTTGCTTATTTTCTTGAAAGGTTTTTTTTTTTCTTTTCACATACATGTTCTGATGTTCATGATATTGCACCTACGTCGATTTCATAATTTTATGCCTATGAAATTTAATTTTTCTTTATATCATGCAGACAAGCAAGGCCAAAGTTGACAGTAGCTCTGATGGCAGAAATATTTGTGCTCTCCCTCTTCGGGTAAGCCTACAAGAGTTATGGTATAAAACCGAAAAACATTGCAAGATATACGAAGTAATTTGTTGTAGCTGTAGCTAGCATGTCCTGTGTATTACATCCTAAAAGGGAGCATTCAGGGTAACAAGAATTTACAAGTGCATAACATAGATCAGACTTTTAAATCCAACAGCACAATCCAAAACTACCTCCAAACATTCCCAAAATTCCCCTGCTTTTTCAAGGCATTCTCATTAATTCCTCCAATCATCCTTCTGCGAGTGACAGATTTCTCATACTTGCAAGTTACAAAAAGGCATTCGGTCACTTGTTCTTCACAATTGGTATACATGAGGCGTATTCATACATATCATAATATCATACACTTAAGATAAATGTCATGATGTACATTACAGGAGTCAACAGTAAAATACTACATATCTTCCTTGAAAGGAAGCAAATGATATATTTTGCTGATTTTGGCAGGGTGGGATTGACACTTAACATGTATTTTACAAGCTTAAAGTATACTTCACCGACATTTGTTGCATCAATGATCAACACAATAGCTTCCTTAACTTTTGTGATTGCAGTTGCACTCAAGTGAGTAAAAAAACCCTTTCTTTCTCCTTTTAACATTCGAAGACTTGTTCTAGCAAAATGCTTTTTTTTAACTATACACTATGACACTATCTAGGATGGAGGTTCTTGATATATGGAACCCTCGAGGAGCTGCAAAGGTTCTCGGTACCTTAATTTCCCTAGGAGGTGTAATGTCCATGACATTGTACAAGGGATCTGTCATTAAAAACATCTGGAATCCTCTGCTGCATATTCAAGGAAGTACAACTACTAACGAAAACAGGTTGATAGGTTCCATTCTAACTGCAGCTAGTTGCCTATCATGGTCCATATGGTACATCATGCAGGTTTGAGTTATATTCTAGGAATGAGTCTTTTAGTTTGGTTTTGGGCTAGTATGGGTTTGGTCACATTATGAGTCAATTTCGACAATCCTAAAAAAACAAATAATTGCTCACATAATTAACACTCATATGAAATTTGACAATTTCATTTGCTAGTCAATACTCAAATCAGCTGATGCTGCCATTCTTTATCTGCTAATTACTAAATGCCTAATAGAAGCCTAGGACACACGACACAGATTGTCCATAACGAATCACAGAAGAGTTTTCCTTCAATTAGATATGAATATATGATGTATCCTTATGAGTCTATATGCTTACTGATAACTATAGGCCTTTACTCTGAAACGATATCCTGCACGTCTGTCACTGACAACATGGATGAGTTTCATTGGTGCTGCACAGTCAGCCATTTTTACTGCATGTGTTCAGCGTAAGCCAGCAGCTTGGGCAATTGGTTTCAACATTGACCTCTTGTCTACCGTTTATGCTGTAAGAACTGTTGTTGATACAACCTTAGACTATCTGAAGTATGATCTTATACTAACATATACTCGATATATGGCATGCAGGGAGTGGTTTGTTCAGGCTTAATAGTCTTCCTCCAGTTGTGGTGCACAGAGGAAAAAGGACCTGTTTTTGTGACCATGTTCAACCCTCTTTCGACAATACTTGTTGCCTTACTAGCATATTTTGTCCTTGGAGAAAAGCTTTACATTGGCAGGTAAACTAACTTGATATTTGCTCCAAGAAACTGATTTTGATACAACATCAAGGCTTATTTTGACTGATCATACCTGACTTTGCTGATTCACAACTGTTTTGTTATATGAACTTCGTGATTTTTAGTAAACAAACTGATGTTTTTCTCATTAGAACTGATTTTACAAATTAAAACTGGTTTATACTAAATTAAATTGATTAAATGAGTTGAAAAGAGCAGGGTCTAGTTAATTCAGAACAAATGATATAATAGGAAGCATAATACATATAGAGCAAATGTTACAAGGAGAAGATTAATAGTTTCTCAATCACATGTTCAGCATAATGGGGGCAGCTATTGTCATCTTTGGTATGTACCTCTTAATGTGGGGTAAAGAAGAAGCACAGACAAACATAGCCGGGATCTACCTAAACTATAAAGACTCGAAAGGTTTAAAACCAGATGCATTCAGCACAGAAAATGGCGAAGAGGTGACAACAGAGCCATAGACACTAGAGAAGATGGCTGTGGTGCAATTATGAAAACAGATAGATGCTGGAAGTAAGGAAATCCATCAGCCATCTTCAAGCTCGCCAAGAATAAGCAACTATATAAACTGTCAATATTATAAAGATGCCTATTATGCTTGCATGAATTACGAAAGATAGGATCAGTGCTCCCAGCTTAAGCTGAGTCAGTATCTGATTCTCTTCTCCAGGTTAATTAACATTAGCCCTCTGTTGGACTAATCCTAAAGAAATATGCCTGTAATATTCTGTAAAGTACTTCGTATTAGTTTTGGCTGCTGTTTCACTTGAAAAGTTTACTATGTAAAAGGATATGATCTCAACCTATCAGTCTGCTTGCATCTATATAAGCTTGACAGGATTGTAAATCATGTTAACCAGTGTTATCAACCACGAAGACTGTTTGGTCCATTTTCCTCTAATTTTTGCGATCAGTAGTCACACAACTACACAAGAGTTCAATTTCAATGGTATGACAATTTTGTGGAATTGACTCCCAAAATCAAGTTTAATGGAAATTGTCACTCAAACAATATAACCTTCCCAACTTCCAGTATGCAAAAAAGTCCCATATCATCTAATCTTTTCAAACAAATCAAAATTTCGAAAATTTTACTTCATAGGCAGGTGTCTGGCTTCATTGCACAATCTGTCATAGATAAATCTTACATCCCAGTCTATAGATAATATATATAGAACTATAATTAAGATCTGAATATTTAAAAAATGAACTGGTTGAATGATTCGGAAATATCGTTGAAATTTTATATTATAATCATAAATTCATGAATCATGCATATAACAATGACAATTAATTCTGTTTGCCTTCAACAGATTAGACTTAATGATAAAAGCCAACTTTAGCGGATAGCTACAGGCTTTGACAATAAATTTTATATACAATTCTTGCCGACCAATCCGTATGTCGGAGTTCTTGACAGTTGACATCAAATGATACAAAAATAATACACTTGGGTACACCTACCTTTAAGTAAACTAGTATGCAACTAATAAGAATTTGTGATCTTCCCTCCCCCAAACAAAAAAAAGGTCTTGGACATTTTTTTTCTAAAATATGACTTACATCACATATGTAGCAGGGAATGTGGAAGGAATGATTGTTTCAGGTCAATCAAGCTTGTATCAGTCTAAGCAAAGGGAAAAAAATGAACAGGTTTATGACCATATTTGATCCCGCTGCAAAAGCATTTCCTGGTTTATCAGGAGGTGAAATCTCGATGATAAGAATCTAGACAGCAAAACAAGCAGAGTAAAAACAGCAGGATTACATTCATACGAAATAAAAAAAACACACAGGAAATAAACAATAGGAGTCTTAATTAGTGTACTTACATAGTCTAGCGACACTCTACGGCGTTTAAGCCATGAGCCTCTGGCTATTCCAATCTAAATTAAGAAACAGGTTCACCAACATTATATACATTCAAATAAAGAAAGACAAAACTTGAGACAAATGTCGCAGAATTCCTGTTGAGAAGAAATCTTGCACATCCACTTAAGCAGCAGGAGGCCTGAGTTCATGGTCACGAGAAGTATCACGAGTAGCCGGTGGTAGATAATGCCACATAGGGTACATACCATAACCAGGGTAAACAGCCATCTTATTTGGTCCAGCTTGATAGGCCGGTGGATAAGGAGGAATCATTCCAGGACCAGGCATGCCAGACATTGCTTTCATATGCAGTTCCATCTTTTCTTTTTCTGCCCTCAATGTCGATTTCTCATCACGAAGTTCATTCTTTTCGGCCTATAGTAGGAAGCTAAGTTTAAGAACAGCAAAGGAGCTACTAAAAAGTAAAGATAAAAATATATGGTAATATGATGATTGAATGAAGTCACAAAGACTCTTGTAAAACATGGGTTATACAAGATTTTTGTAACCTTTTATTGCAACTTCGTCTTCAATTATAAACTTATAGATGACTGAAGAAATAAGCTATCATGCAATGCTCCAATCATATATAATATGTGAGTAGGGAAAATTAAAGTTAGATAAGCTTCAAAGTCTTGAATCTCAGAAGATAAAGGATTTAACTAGAGAAGATCCACAAATGGAATTCCATGGAAAAGGTTCCGATATTCTAACAAAATATGTGTCCAGAACTAGCTTAGAACAAACTTCAAGTAATAGGGCAAAAGAAGTATTCACCTTTAAACTTTCAATTTCCTCTTGCAGCTTTTTATTCTCATCTTTAACCTCCTGATTTTCGATCCTCAACTGCTTCACAATTCTTATAGCATCAGATAATAAAGCCAATTTGTCAGCTTTGGCAGCCCTTCCAGGTTCCAAAACCGAGCTCAGGTTTAAAAAGCTGCAGCAGGAAGTAAAATGAAACTCAATATGGTTACCACCAATATGTATCCCTTATATGTCAATTGAGGTGGTGTTAATTCGAGGGGTTAGTAATGAATCTTGTGTAATTTGGTGAAAAAAATCCTACTTAGATGTCTAAGGTAATACGAAATACTGTGTAATGAAGATGTTATCAAGCGCGCTGTAAAAGCTTAGTACAAACAGATGAAAAAAAAAACATCTTCCATACCATGCATCACTTGTTTAATGTTCAATTGTTGAATACAAAATGCTAAACCTAAAAAAATTATGCAGAAGAAGCAGATTGCATGCCTGTCATTCAACTTTTCCCGTCTTTCTCTCTCACGGCATGCTTTAGTCTTTGTATTGCAGTGGACAGCAGAACGTCCCCTGCAAATCAAGAAGAAGATATTAGAGTTAAGTGATACTACAGTCCAAGCAATCTGTTGATCTGAGCAAATTTTTCGACGTAACAACATGAAGCAATAGCAGTTGTCACTGATAGCAAATTCTACCTTTTCTTAGGGCATTCCAACTCAGATTCTTGTTCTTGGAAAGCACTACTTGTCTGTGAAAAGTCGATTTCTATGCAAGAACTGCAAGGAAATTTCTTCAGAGTAAGATCATATGACTGTGAACTGAGTTCAGAAATTAATCTAAACCATCTATTAATACATGATAAACTAGATCTTATGCAGTAAAGGCAAAGTAACACCTTTTCTTGGGTCTTTGCCTCTCAGATTCTTGTTCTTGTATCATACTTCCTGTCCTTGAAAAGTCAATTTCGATGCTGGAACTGCAAGAAAGATTTCTCTTAGTTAAGATTGAATCACCATGATTTGATCATGAAAACATCACCTAATCAAAACTTAAACCAAATCCAAATACAGCTAGAAGCCTAAAAATAATCAAATTTCTTGTGCAAAATCAAGATTTTTGGTTAGCATTATCCATCTTTAAACACCTTTACTGCTTTATTTTCCTACCAAAATTCTTAATTATAGTTAATTAATCAAAGAATTATCAATCATAAAGCTAAGTCAAATATTCCTATATACCTAGAATCATCAAGCTGCAATTTTTGCTATTCTTAAGCTAAAACACATTTTAAATAGAAGTAGATGTCCCCTATAAATCAATGATACATGTTCTAATATGTTCACCAAACTCACAAAGAGCATGATTAATAATCTCAATAGTAATTTTATCTAGCTAATAGAGAGCATAAAGACAATTGTAGACAAGATTCGATCTCGGGTTTTACGTTTTGACACCCACCCCCCTCCGTCCACGGGCACACAAAGATTTTAGCCAACTAAACTAGTTCACAACCACATAATCATCAAAACACTTACTCCCAATAGTTATAATGAGAAGAAAGTGTAAATTTCATCATATGCAAGAAGCAAAGGTTACTTGGAAGGAAGAAAAATTGAAACTTCATCATAAACCAAGTATCCCTTAATTAATCAAATACAACCTTTCTACTTCAATCTTCTCCAACTAAGTCGATTAAGCAAAAACATGAAAAATAATTATTTCCTACCTGATTCTTAGCATGAAGAACTAACTAATCTAAAATCAAATTAAATCACAAAATGAGTTAAAATTCAATGAGAAATTAAGAAAATAAAGGGTATTTTATAAAAATTGAAATTACCTGGGATCAACCCAAGAAAAATTAGGGGAAGCAACATCATCAATGAAATAATCAAGGGGTAGATCCCAAGCAGTATCATCAAAAGAACCCATCTTTTTGAATTGGGGTTACAGCAGAAAAATCAAATTAGTCACTGAAAAAAATCCAGAATATTTTACTGAAGATTAAGTATTTATTTGTTCCCAATCATAAGAAAAGCAGAGAAAAATGACAGACAGAAGAAAAAGGGGGGCAGGAAGATGAATCAGAGATATGAGGGAAGAGATGGGAGGCCAGTTAGAATCTAACACGTGGTAGGATTTTGATTGGTGGGTGTTTTCAACGACAAGTGGAGCAAGCACTTCATTTTAGGGCCATAAAACAAAGTTAATTAAAATGTTTAATAAAAATTTAAATAGTTACAAGTTTGTCATTAGTGACATGGGTGATATAATGACAGATAGAAAATCTAAGATATAATTTCATTCTTTTCATTTGTTAGGTTTTGTGGTATATTAATTACCTATGATCATCTTGGTGTTTGTTGTCTTGTTGAACTAATTTAGTTTTTTTTCGTTATTTTTATTTCTTATCAAGTGTATGTTTTAATGTATCGAGTTAATTGTCTATGCTTATGAGAAGTTTCATTTGTCAAAAGAGGGCAATTATTATGTCTAGTCAAAGTTTTACATTAATGTTGTCTAATCAAACTGTCAATTAAAACAAAGAGCAATAAAATGAGTTTAAGAATTGAAAGATATTCAACCTAATAATGTATGGCAAAAGCTAACGGGTGCCCCGGGGCGCTTGTTAAAGAGAATCAATTACAGAATCTTATATGCCATAAATGATATTTTTTGAGGAGTAATTAATTACAGTACATTATTTTGAGCTTTCTAGTAAAAATGAATTTATTGAGCAGCTCACCGATTTCAATGATAATCTCTTGTCCCAAAACTCTTCCTCAATAAAAATAAAAATAAAAAAATCCTCATATCTACCTCTGTTTCTATTTTGTAGAGTTTAAAAAATATATATATATATATATATTCTCATCTCTGTATTCTTTGACCGAGGGGAAAAAAAACTCCATTTCTAATACTTTAATTAATCTTCTCTAACATTAATTCTTACATAGTTCTTCCTAAATCATACATCAACAACACCTTAGCGAGCCTTTGCTAGTTATTAGTGTCAACAACATCATGGAAGTATGGAATTGTATAACTCTAAAATTATCACAGCTTTCCCGACAGGGTTAACTCTTCCCCTCTTTTCTTTCTTTTCTGTAGGGTTTTCGTTTTAATTTCGACGGCAAAGCCGTCGAAATAATCACCGGCACCAGATCGGAGAAGATGTATAGATTTGGGTAAGGTGGGTAAAAAGTCTGGGATTAAATATGGAGATGATGATGCTGGAGAAAATTGATAGGGATATACTGGGGTTGTTGAACGATGAAATTATACATAATTTTTTTTTTTTGACGGGATATGTTTCGGGGTTTTCTGATGTCCTGCGGGAGAGTTACAATTCCGAGACTGGAACCGGACGCCTGTACCTGCAAAATAACGGAGACTCCTGAGAGCTCCGCCTCCAACGGTCAAGTTAGTACCTGATTAAGGAGTAATTAATACAGAAATTAAAGTAATAAGGTCTCTCTAGGTGAGAGTATTTAATGTAGGTAATCTGCTTTGCTAGCGAGATCAGCCGGTTATTAGTGTGTTCCGTAATGTATTCGGTCCCTTGATTAATGAGGATTAATCGAGTATTTATAGCCTTGGGAAGCGTGCAACTCTCTAGGTTTAAGGTAAACCTAGGGCCGATCGGGCTTCTAGACTGAAATGGGCCTTGATGGCCGGTTGTCCCATTTGGCATGGGTGGACACGTGGCGTGTCTTAAGTGGTCCATGGAGGACGCGTGGCGGAACCTGGTTGGTCCACTTGTCAAACGGTGCTTGGTGGATAAAAATCCCCTAATCATTTGCCCCTCACAGGTGGCACGCGACTGGTCACGTGTCGCCTGTGACAGGCGTCGCACGGTGACAGGCGACGGCCCGTTACAGGTGTCACCTTGCAGACGGCCGGGAGACTCTCCCGCCCAAATTTGAATTCGGAGGCGACCCTTCGCCTTCTCATTTTGCCTATAAAAGGAAGTGCTGACTTCGGTCATTTTCACATTTGAGAATTTTTGCGAGAACATTCGGACCCCTGAACTTGCTCTGACATTTTCGGACTTTTTCTGCCTACCGCCTGTTCTGTCAAGCCGACTGACCCGAACTTCCAGGACTTCATCAACTGTCATCCATTCAGGTAACTCAGTTCTCTTACTCTTAATTTTCTTTTTATTTTTTGAAATGGCACCATGGAAGCACACGACACGCCCTAAGTTAGTGATCAGCCGGTCACCGGGGACGGCTGAATCTAGGACTAGGAGTGCCGCCTGCCCTTTTCTGGACCCATCTTTGCCCTTTATACAAAGTCCGACTGAATCTGTGTCTATGCAGAACGTGATGGCCAGAACAAAAAAGACTGCTAGAATATCAAACTCAGACGGCTCCTCCCAAAGGGTACTCCTTAGCGAAACATCTGACCAGGCGCCAGATGTGGAACGAGGCGACTGTCAAGCTGACAGTTCTGAGAGAGGGACCAGGGTGTTCCCTTCTCATCTAACCGTGGACATGTCCAATTTACCTTCTGCTCCTTCTAAGGGAGAGGAGGCGGGCCCCTCTAGGAGAGGGGAGGAGTCGTCCTCTTCGGACTCGTCAGGGGACGAGTCCGATTCCAGCTCTTCTGACCACAGTTCTTCTGACTCAGAAGAAAAACATAACCGCCTACAAGAGGCGAGAAGTTCCCATGCAGTGGAGAAGGGGGATAATTGGGCAGAGCCGTCCGCCTCTTACAGAGAGGAAAACACCCCCTACTACTGCAGGGTGCCCCGGGGCCGGATCGCAACCATGCGAGACAACGTGGCGAGCTTTATTGCTAACCACAAAATGGGCCCGGAGTATTTACTGTTTGTGCCGGATCCAGAAGATACTGTCGTCTGGCCGGCTGGTACCAGCTATGGTGACGGCTGTTTTGGCTGCTATGTGGCGGCCATCAAAGCTGGTCTGCGCTTCCCATTACATCCGGCTGTTCAGCGGATTTTAGATGGGTATGATCTGGGGTTATGGCAGTTAGCCCCCAACTCTTGGGTAAACGTACTCGGCTATGTGGCCGGGTGCGAACTGAACGGGGTGGAGCCAAGTTTTGAGGCTTTCGCCCACATGAACTATCTCAGCCGGACCCCTAAGTCGGGAGGTACCGGCTGGTATCAACTAACAAGCCACAGGGGTTACCTCATGACGAGAGGTAAGGCAAACAAATGGAAGGATTGGCGGAACACCTTCCTTATTATCGAGAGTTCAGACACGGAGCTGAACAAACGATTTAACAAGTGGAACAGGGATCCGCCTCTTCTTGCAGGCGGCCGCAGCATGCCGCCTGTTCCCCCAAAGGCTAAAAGAGAGATCCTAGACAAAGGACTCTTCAAAGTAGAGACTAGGGTGAACTCTACTTCAGGGGTACGAGAGCAAGTACCCCTACACTGCGTCCCGAGCTTCAAGTGGCTCTATGATGAGTACTTCTTGGCCGCCTGTGGCCTCGGCAGTCGGTGCTCTAGAGGTAGCCGGCCTGACGAATACTCTGTTTTTTCACGCCTTGTTTACTTGGGATTTTTACTAACTTTGCTGTTTATTTCTTTCAGCCGACGCCATGAGTAAAATAACAGCATCTAAGACTGCGGCGGCCATGCTGCGGGTTTCGCTAATGAAGCAGTCGTACGCCGACTCCCCCAGCAAGGAGGCACCCTTGGTAAGCTTTGAAAACTCTTCCCCTTTAAGTTGTATTATGCATATACTAACTCTTTTTGTTTTCAGTCTGGCACTCCAAGGGCTTCTTCCTCGCAACAGCCGGACCCCAAGGCCCGGAGGACGACTGTTGCAAGCTCTCCTGGGTCTTCCAGGAAAACAGTGGCGGCTGAGAAGCAGCCGGCCACTTCTTCAAAAACCCAAGCGGGGCCGCCTAGATGTATGGACCCTTGCTTGTAAAAACTCACTCTTGCTTCCTTCTTGATTAGGTCTAACTTGTTTTTCCTTCTGCTTAATGCAGCCGGCCCCCAGGGACTTGACTTGGTTGAGGTAGCCAAGTCAATGGTTAAAGTAGTTCCTCCCTCTGACAGGGAGGCGGTCAAGGGTGCCGGCACCCTTGACCTCGATGGAATTTCGGGGATCCTAGCTGAGGTATACCCTTTTGAAGTTCCAGGACGCCTGTTAACCCTTTTGATTGGAAACTGACGCCTGTTTTTCTTTGTACTTAGGCCCTGCTCCGAGTCAACAGCCTTCGCAAGCCGATTGATCGGAAAAACAAAGAGGTAAAGGCCGCAAAGGCTATGGCCGCCTCCAGCTGTGATAAAGCAATGTTTCAAATTGCCCAAAATGAAGTACTGACCATTGATCTTCTTTATTATCAGGCGCAGGCGACCGCCGCTGTTCGGGCTCAGCTAGAGGCGGCCCAAAAGAAGGTTGACGAGCTGGAGGGGACCGTCACCAAACTTAAAGCCGAGCTGAAGCCCCTTCGTCAGAAAATGCACTCTTACGAAGCCATGGAGAAATCTTTGGCTAACGTAAAAGAACGCCTGGTGAACCAGGAGAAGAGTCTTACCCAAGAGCTCTCGGACAAGGCCGAGCAAGAGAAACAAGAGCTCGTCCGGGAGATGGTGGAAGACTCCGCCCAAATCCAACGCATGACCTGGGAACGACTGTTCCCCAGTGCCGACTTTGCCTCATGGGAAAGAACGTACCGCCAGTGTTCGGAAATATATAATCAACAGATCCTGGCGGCTGCTGAAGAAGAGGCGATGGACGTTGCGTTGGAGGAGGAAGAGGCTGTTGTGGCGCTTGTGCCACTTGGGGGTAAGGCATCAAAAGATGATGCAGCTAAGGCCGAGTCCAGCAAGAAGAGTGCTGACCAGGCGGCTGCTGCTGATACTGAACTGCCCCCTTCTTAAGCTTTAAGTATATTTTTTCTTTTCACGGCCTGCGTGCCGTTTGCTTTGTAATTACCCGGCCAGGGGGCCGGGGTTTTGAATATTCTGCTGGTCTTTTATGGCCGGCTCATTTTAATCAAATTTTTTGTTTTTGTTCAAATTTGTCTAAGTATTTGAAATTTGCTCACTAGACAGACTGTTGTGTATGGCCGAACGTTAAGACAGGTACAAATAGTAAGTATGCCGCCT